GTGAAACCTTTGAGTATGTGCCTCACTGGACCCCGGTATCAATGCAAGCGCTACCTCTTGAGATAGCCCGGGCGCAGTATGAAGACGGTTCTTGGGTACCATTACCCTGCCCCTGTTCCTGTTCAACTTTAAACGGTGAAAGTGGCACGCTACTGCAGATGCGGATCCGTTCGCCTCGCGCATGGGGACCGTTAGGTGAGTTCACAGTTTTTCACTGAATTTGGTGCAACACCATTCCCTAATATCTCCTCATTGATGGTGCTTTCAGATGATCTGCACCAATGAAGAATGCGTCATGCTCCACATGACCTCCACGTAATGAGCCTTTTGAAATGGAGTAGCCCTCCTTGTAGCACCTACCAATAGTCCTTTGCCCCATTCATAACTCACGGTGTCCTCTTGTCAGCTTGGCTGATTTCTCTCCTCTCCAAAGAAGAACACTATCCTAGAGTGCACAACGGTCCCTCAGGCAACGCTCACACTTTCGTCCTCCCTACTGCCTCTGGAAGCTTTTTGTGTGGCGCTCGAGTGTCCCTCAACGACCGCTAAACCTTTACTTCCATCCAGAGCACGCCATCACGTTGTGATCATTTTCTGAAAATTACGACCCCCCCCCCAATTAGCTAGCTGCATATAGCTCCAACGACCCATTTGTCAAGTTGTAGGTAATCAGTTGCACCGAGAAAGTTGTTTCTGGTTGGACCAGAGTAGCGATCCAAGAAGATACCCCTGCATATCACGTGAATACGAAGAAAACTACGGTTGAAAGCAGTATAAGCCCTGTATCAATGAAAGTGCAACGGACAGCTTGGCTCTGAATTTGGGGCTACCGTATCAAAGGATGAGCCACTTAAAGTTGTCACTTTACTTGTAAACGGTATGGGCACTTGTTTTATTATGATATGTGCTGTTAACGCCGCGGTTCGCTTTGCGAATGTTATCACAAGAGTGCTGAGTTATGGGCAAAAGTCGAACCCCAGGCGGGAGTCGAACCCGCACCTCACGCTTTCCGGGCGAGTGCGCTATCCGTTACGCCACCAGGGCCGCTCCTAAGCTCTCAGGTCGACGGCTTTTATGCCGTAACCTTAGAGTATACACACGTTTAATTTGGTGAGGTCGACTTTTGCCCATAACGCACATTCTTGTGATAACATTCGGAACGCGAAGCGCGGCGTTAACAGCATATATCATAATAAAACAAGTGCCATACCGCTTACAAGTAAAGTGACAACTTTAAGTGGCTCATCCTTTGATACGGTAGCC